ATCTCTGTTGTAGTTTTGGTCTTTACGTTCTTAAATTAAAAAATAAATGGTGGATAAAAAAATTAATCAAGGACATGGAGATTCTGCCATCCAAGGACATCTAAGGGTCTATAAAACCCTCCTCGAGCACCTTAGTGTGTGTGTGTGTATGTGTATGTGTGTGAACTGTATAAGACCTAGGGAGACAGAGAGGAACTAGAAAGCGTGTCTGCGCCTACAGGGCTCTGTCTCCTGGGGAGCACAGACATGAAATGTGCAAGTACAAAGTAAGGTGCCACGTGTTCATGTGCATACAAAACGAGGTATCTGAGCTCCATCTAGGCAGTTCAGAGGATTAGGAAGAACAAACCAGAGATACAGGATTTTTTTTTTGTTCAGTTGTTTTTTGCCTAATGCATTAAAACTTTAAAATAGAAATTGAAATAAAACAAGCACTACTGTTTTACAAAGTGGATCATAAATTTACTAAATTTAATACAACAAATTTTTGATTGAGAATGTGGAATATGGTGATAAAAAGAATCCAGCTCTTAAGGAGTGTATAAATTAAAGAAGGGGTTGGATTTGAAAATAACTAAATGAGATTTTCAATATAAAGCAGAATTAAATGCATTCTGTCATAGAAATTCAAACAACGTGCCCTGGGAAAAAAATAAGAGGATTGTTAAGCCTTCGGTAGAAGGGAACTTGCATTAAGCTGAGTTGGATGTCAGTTGGTGGGCAAGATAACAAAGTACATGTCTTGAAATGGACAGAAGTGCTTGCTATGCTTAGGCAGTGGTGACCAGTCCAACATGCCTGGAGCATCAAGTACACTCTGGGATGTGCCGGAAAAGAGAGACTAGGGAGAGAGCATATGGCCACATGGAGCCACATGCTGCCACGTGCTTAGAATTTGGGGCTAAATCCGTAGACCATGGGAAGCAATTAAATGTATTTAAGGAGGGGTATGATATAATTCAATGTATATTTTGGAGAGATAATTTCTGACAAGCACTATGATAGCCTACACCATGTGAATTATTAAAAGTGGAGAGTAGCTGGGGAGTTTTGTAATAGCCCGAGTGAAAGATTTTAAGATTCTGAATTAGGATTATTGTTCAGAGAGATTGAAAAGAAAAGGTTGATATGTTAGAGATAATGGGTGGATATTCTATTAATCGGGGGATGATGGAGCTGTAGTGGATTATTCAACATATTATATTTTAGGGTGCATATAAAGTGTACTTTTCATTCCTGGCCTGTTTAGATTATGAAGAGTACAACACGATTTGGTATTTCTTACATTGTTACCATACACAGTGCTAACATAGCGACATATAGGATTCACATAATAACTTTATCTCCTTCCCTGCTTATTCTTTCACCTTATCGTGGGCTAGACTCAGCTAAGGGGTCTGTACTCCTCACTACTTGTGCTCATTTGCAAAAAAAAAAAAAAAATTATTTACTACAAATATTTACTTTGGAGTCACAACAAATATTTTGAAAAGGATTTAGGAACCCAGGCAGTAAGGGTCAGTTTTGTCTGGTAATTAAGTAATCAAGATTTTGTTGTTCTTATTGTTTAGATGAATCACAAGATTATGTTTATAAGGTTATTTGCAAGTGAAATAGACGTAACACTGTGAGTTCTACTCTGCCCCAAATAGAGTATAAACATTTGTTTTGATTGTGTTTTTCTTTTTTTTTTTTTTTGTGAGGAGATCAGCCCTGTGCTAACATCTGCCAATCCTCCTCTTTTTTTGATGAGGAAGACTGGCCCTGGGCTAACATCTGTGTCCATCTTCCTCCACTTTATATGAGACACCGCCACAGCATGGCTTGCCAAGCAGTCCGTCAGTGCGCGCCTGGGATCTGAACCAGCGAAACCCGGGCCACCGCAGCGGAGTGTGTGCACTTAACCGCTTGTGCCACCGGGTCAGCCCTGATTATGTTTTTCATTTATTGTTTATTAATTAATTTACCATATTGTGGGACCGTAGAATGTTGTTTTTTTCTCCTGACCAGAGGTTTTTTACTGTGGAGAGTAGTACTTCTTAACTCTGTATTAGTCAGTTATTCACAAAGACTGTGTGTGTGTGTGCACATGTGCCTACATAGACGTGTGTTAACTTAAGAATGCCATTCAGTAATTCTACATTTGCAGCGTTTTTCTTTGCTAAGCATTCTTTTTTTCAGCACAGAAGGATAGTTTTTCGCTAACAATATGGATTTTACTCCACCTATTAAGATTAATATAATGCGCAGTCTCACAGATTAAATGTCTGAATGCATCTGATAATTATGTATCCATCTTAACATTTCCAATGGTCATCCACTTTTAACTGCAGATGCTTACACTAACTTTGCAAGGACACTGAGCTTAGACTCAAAACAACTTTCTACTTGTGAATTCTGGCAGTGATTACAAGCCTAGTGGTGGTCCTAACTGGGAGAAAAGTGTCAGTGATGGGGAGGATGGTAAAGTTCAGGGCTCCTGAAATAGGGGGTGTGTGTGGGTGGGTGGGGTGAGGTAGAAGAGGAGGAATCTGATCTTTGAATGATTGGAGAAACAAGCAATATGAACATTTTACCTTTAAATTCTTATACTGTCAGTAATGGAGAACAACTAACAATAGGACATGATGCAAAATATGGCATCAGAGCTCAGGTTGAAGATCACAGTCAGAGTTTAATGTCTGTTATATATTGAAACAGAACGCATCCTTTCTTCCTCACCTGAAATACCACAGGAACATTGTATCACCATGCCGTGAAAACAGCAATCAGTTGACAGGAATTAGTCAAATGTATCATAAGGGCTGATTCTATAAATGGGATGAGATTTAGAGATATAGCAAGCCTTTGATTAAAGACATGACCTGGGTATTATTTATGTATTTCTTATAGTCATCAGATCTTCCTTCAGCATCTCACACTAGTCATCAGTAGAGTGTACACACCCACCACTGGGTGCTGGCCCATAGAGGCATGGACGAAGGTGAGGAGGGGTTAGTAGAGTGGCTGTGAGAAGTGTGTGTGTAGGGGAATACTTCAGGTATTAGCAGCTTAAAGCAACTTACTTTCATCCACCGTCTGCATATGTCTCAGGACTCAAGTTCTTTGCTGTGTGTTGTTGAGGGTGGTTGATTTTATCGCTGTTGTATAATGCCAAGAAGGGACCCTTCTGGTAAGTCATAAAACGCAGTGATGGCAACCATCTGAAGCACTGAGCTTCTTGAAGATTTGGGGAGCCATCAGGTGGGGCGGGTTGCTTGCACCCTTCTTTCCCTGGGTTCTCCTTTGCAGCACCTTTTGATGTCCCCCCTCACAGGACAGCAGCTCCTCTCCCGGAGGCAGGATCCCATTGTAGGCAGTGGAGAATGGCCTTTGCACAGTCCACCAGCTTTCATAATCCTGTTGCAGCCAGAGAGAGCTGGCTGTGTGACCGCAGGCAAAGTGTTTAGCCTTCCTCTACCTCAGTTTCCTCATCTGTTGATAGGAATAATAAAGCCATTCAATGTAAGTATGGAATGAATTACTATGTAGAGAACATTAATAGTTCCTGGCACATAGGAAGCACTCAGTAATTCAAACCATAATAATTTTCAGCTTTTTTCCTTCTTAAATTAGATGGAGATATAGACGTAATAGTAATCCTGAGAATGACTTAAGAAAATTAAGTAATTCACCATATTTCAAAAACACAACTTCTTCATATGCTGGATAAACACATGGCACAGTGATCCACTAGATAATTCCACACTAAATAAATCTAAATGATAACTTGTGCCAGAAATTCATTTTTTGTATTATTCAGTCCTGACTAAAAACTACAGAAACTAAAGGACAGATCAGATATTTAAGTATTTTGAAGCAGTGTATAAACACAGCTGTCACAAGGTGGTGGAAGAATCTCTTATAGATATCTGTGGGGCAAAGAGTGGTATCTTCAACAGCTACCATGAAAGGATGAAAATGCACTGTGCACACACCTTCCTTAGTAGTTTTCCATATTTTATATTTTTAGCACCTTCTCTTTTAAAAAACACAAACATAATTCTGTAAGGCAGTGAAAAGCCTTTTTATTTGGTAAATTGGGTTTTTACATTCGTATTAATTGAAATCCAGAGTGATGGCAGTTATAGGGGATGAAAGATTGTTGAGATGACAGATTGAGTACTGTATTTCTCAGGTTATGAAGTTCAGGAAAATGTGTAGTTATTTCTGAGTTTCCTCAGGTTCTTCTGTTCAACATAATGTTCTGACATACAGAAGGGACAGTTCCTGATATGAAATGCAAATCATGAGATGCTGCCCCTGCGGCCAATGCTGAGGTTAATCATGCAAATCTAATGCAGTTCTTGGTATTTCAAGAAAGGTTTTAGTTGAAGTCTCAGGCACACGCTGATATAAAATTCCTACTTCAGAGAGCAGTGTGATATTTTTCAGCTTCAAATTTTAAAATATAGAACAGGATTCGGGGACCAATTTAGTGACTGGACATCCATCCGTATTTGTTAATCGTGAAAAGGAGTGGAAGTGGGGGTGGGAAGGAAAGGCCCCCTTAAAGAACGTCGGGATTGCTAAGCATATTAAGTAATAGATTAGATCTAAATTTACAAATGTTCTATAGCAAATCCTTTTGCTTGGAATAAGATCAGGTCAACCGATTATACATGTTTATTGAATGTCTGCTCTGTTCAAAGAAGATGGCTAAAACTGGCAAGGACAGATCAAATCAAAAATAACAATACAAGAAGTTCCTAACTTTGGGAATGATATAAAATCCCTTTGGAAATGAGACTGTTTACGGGAAGAAATGAAATTGTCTTGCTCACGAGTGCAAGCTGACACGTTCTAATAGCCTTTCTGCTGTGCACAATAAGCATCCGCTTATCTTCCCAAGAACAATAAAATATCCTGTACTGCTGCCTGACATAAGAATTATTTTTACATATCTCCATATCACTGACTCTTTTGTAAGTTAATCTCATCTCACATGAATTTTTTACCAGCTTCACTCTGATGTTGATAAAGGAGATGGTTCCATCAAATACATCTTGTCAGGCGAAGGGGCAAGTTCCATTTTCATTATTGATGAGAACACTGGGGATATTCATGCCACCAAGAGGCTGGATCGCGAGGAGCAGGCCTACTACACGCTGCGAGCCCAGGCGCTGGACAGGCTCACCAACAAGCCCGTGGAGCCCGAGTCCGAGTTCGTCATCAAGATTCAGGATATCAATGACAATGAACCCAAATTCTTGGATGGTCCGTACACTGCGGGAGTTCCCGAAATGTCTCCTGTGGGTAAGTAAAGAGCATTGCTTTTGCACTGAGTGTCTGATTTTAGGGAATTTGTGTAAAACTAAATCATCTTAGTATTTGTATAGTACTTGTCATTTAGGGTGAGGGGAAAATTTGAGACATGTTAGTAGCCAGTACCTAAATCTAATTATTCAACTTATTATTTTATTTATATGGAAAATTAGGAAATTTTTCCTTTTGCACAGAGAGCTCAATGTCTTCAATAAATTACTTAGGTCTTACATTCCCTTTTCAATTTAATATTTAAAAAAATTTTAAAAATGATTAAAATTATACCTATGAAGTTAGAAAATCCTTCCAGACACAGCCCTGTGATGATCTTTTACTTTTCTTTCTCCTGATACTAGCATAATAATTCACTATTCTGAGCATCTGTTTCTGGCCAAGATATCAGGCAGGCTGTCAGTGGTTAACATTGGATCAGGTTAACATTGGATCAGCCAGTCTATTTGCTTGTAGAATGTTTGAACCTACAAATGTCCATCCACATGCCACCACTAATCCTTCTGTAATTTCTCCAGAAACTTAAACATATGAAATTTTATTACTGAGTTGATAGTAATGGAAAAATGATACTCGGTTTGAGACGTATAAAAGAATAATGAAGGCCGTTTTACTCAAAGGCCTTTTGACATTGCCCCATTACTGGAAAAATGGAAAGTAAAGTACTTCTAGTATATACTTTATTTATATCAAATACTATTAAACTCTGTTTTAAATTCCATCTATTCAGATACTTTTGGAATAGTTTTAAGCCAATATGTAATTAAAGTATGGATGATCTTACAAAATAAAAAATTATGGGGCTGGAAGAGAGATCAGTTGATTTCTATATTAATTTCCTGTTGTTTTTAGTATTGAAGGAGGAAGTTTATTTAAAATAATAATTTAGCTTGTATTTTAACACATGAAAATTTTACTCAGTGCGATTTGTTTTACTTTAAATGTCATTTCATTCATTCCATCATTCAGTCAGCACATCCGCTATGCTGGGGAGTGGAATTGCAAAGATGTGTTATGTGTGCCCTTTCGGGGAATCACAATGCGGTGACCCTAAATTTCTGTTCCTATCAGCTGGGAGAGAGAAAATTATTTGGAACACCATGTCTCTAGCTGCTAAAGAAATAGAAACCGAAAATGAACCAGAGAAATCAATGCTTGTGGCCAGGAACTGAACCACAGTGACAGTATCTCACTATAGTTAGCTTATATATAAGCGTTTCTTTGACCAGACAGGCTTATTCACACTTTCTCAATACCACCCACATCTTCAGAGTGCTTCCTGCTGTTGTTGCTTAACAACAGTAACAAAAACAACAACAATGATGACAGCAGCAACAAGATTTTGGAGGTTTTAGAGAAAAGAGAAGGCACATTGTCCTCCCCAAAGTAGTAATGTTTAGAAAAACAGGAAGTTTTGAGGTGTGTTTGAGCAATTCAGTTTGACTCCATAACTCTCATGGGCATTTGGGCATTATTCATTGGCTTGCTAAGGTTTCACTTTCCTATATGGAATGTTCGATGCAAATTGGATTAATGGGAGATTTTTGTTTTAGAGGCTAAGTAATGCACTGTAATTTAGGTTTCAATGGTACCATTCTGATATCAAACAACATGATTATTATGTGCACATGTAAGTTATTTTAGTTATTTGATTGATTCCAACAGGATCAGAACATTTTAGAAAATGATTTTCAAATGTCTTTAGGATCTACTTGACACTAATTCAGATCATTAATATCAAAATTCAAACTAAGAACAAAATTCGAACTAAGAATGTATAAAATATGTTATATGGATTTATAGTGAGTCATCGTTTATCAAAGTGTTTAATTCTAACCAAATAGTTATAATCACCACTAAATAGTATGGTATATACAGCACAAGCTTTCAGTGTTTAATATTCAGGGTATTTTTTTCATTGCGTGCTAACTAATTATAAGATTTAAAACACAATCTCAGACCCTTAAGATAGCTTATTCCTTGCCAGCATGGATAGTAAGCATGGAAAATTTAAAGTTATTTGAGAATATGTGTGTGTGTGTGTGTAGTAGATTACTTAATGAACACTTCAGAAAAAATTATATTATACACAAGTAAAATTACTGAGGTGGTTTTCATTATTTTGTTTATTTAAGGTTGTTTTCTTTTCAAATGAAGTAGAAAATCAGTACCTAAAGTGTATCACCAGAGTAAATATTGCTGTAAAGATGGTGCATTATAGAGAAAACAGAGAACATGAATATCATTTATTCTAACATTTTAAAATAAGATTTAATTCTTAAAAAGATTTTTAAATATACGTCATTTACCATTTGGTCCTACTAGGCACTCACATGGCACAATCACCTAAGTCTGTCTCATAAAAAAAAACTTCATAATTTAAAAAATGGTGCTATATATGTAACTTCATAATTTCCAGTCACTTTTAAAGAAAATGGCATTGATAAGGGAAGTGATAGAGTGGAAAAGTGAGTAGATTTGTAACAAAATGGACATTAATGACTTATTTAAGGCATTTAGAAAGGGATATCTATGTAGGAATATATCTAAAAGAGACATTAAATTAAAAATGCCATATTTTCAAGAAATTATTAGAAACAAACTTGAACCTTAAAAGAATATATAAAGAAAGGGACTTGTCCCATCCCCATCAGATAGGACATAAATGATAAAATAGCATGTGCTTAAATATATAAACCAAGCAAACTTGAGTATCTAATATTTTTAAAATTACATTCTAAACAGAAATAAAAAGAACAGATCACAATACATGCTTTCCATATGGAATAAGTGAGTACCTAGTAAAATGAAGAAGCAATATGACATTCTATCATATGAAATGTAGAGAAACAACTAATAATGCAATTTTTGATGTTGTCATGCTTTTCCTCCTTTGGGGGGGGGTTTGGTTTAAATTTTCATTTCATGCTTTTGTTTTTAAATCAGTTAGTAGAAACGAAAAATAAAATTATTACTGAAGAGGTAGGGTAGCCACCTAAGATCCAGTTAAATGTATCAATCGAATATTCTTTATTCAATTAATGAAGTTTCCCTTTCTCTCTGGCTCTACTTAGCTACAACAGTGAGATCCCCTGGATGACTTGAGTGTCAAGATGTCACTACTTGTCATGCTGCCTTTTGGATAGTGATGAAACTCACAGAGATTGCTCTTCATAAAAACTTCTTACCTGACCCTGATGGATGAGATGCCTAAAATTTGAGTCCCATCCAATTCTGAGCATATCCCCGTCTAACATGCATCATCAAGCTTATTTTTTTACCATCGTATCTTTATATCCCTTAAATATTCCTGAGGGCTTAATTAGCATTTATCATCTTTTTGGGTTTGTCTTATACAAAAAATATGATATCAATTTTTCATGTGCCTTGAAACAAGAAAAATGAAGAATTTAAAACACATCTAATATAGAATTTTCAGCATTTTGTGAGTTTTTATGCTTTGTGGCATTTGGAAGTTTTTAATTCGTTGGTTTTTGGACTGGCATGTAGGGACCTCAGTGGTACAAGTGACAGCAACAGATGCTGACGATCCTACATATGGCAACAGTGCTCGAGTGGTCTACAGTATTCTGCAGGGACAGCCGTACTTCTCAGTGGAACCTAAGACAGGTAAAAATTGAAATGCAGCACTCCTTGTAAAGTCATCATTTATATCTTGGAATAGAATTAACATTAGTTATTTTTCTTCAATATAATTGGGACTGATAACAGACACTATATTTTTATTGTGCCTTTATCGCTATGTGTACTATGGTAATAAATAACTATTTATAGAAGCACTAGCACCTTATAAGAATATTTTATTGCATTTATCAAATGTAAATTTTATTACATTTATCAGTTGTAAATTCCTATCAAAATTAAACAAAATATTATATATTAAAAAGTATTTCAGCTGCTATCTCCTGACTATATAAGAAAATATTGATTATTCACTTTTAAGTTTTATTTTTGTTTTGTTTTCTTTAATTAATTCACATAGGAGTTATATCACAGTAAAATTTAAATCTCCAACAGATATCTCTCTGCCATGCAATAGAATAGGTAATAGGTTCAGTTTATCTTTCCAGAGGCTGGTTTTCTCAGGGAAATTAAACATTAAACATAACAATTAGGATGATGATCTGCTCAATCAAAAACAAAATGAAATGACTATTTTTTAATTTTAGGAGAAAAGTAGTTTTTATGAGTTGTAAGACTGCCTAGATAGAGTATTTGGTCGGTTGGCTAGATGTTCTGTTTTGCTTTTAAGCTGAAATAGTTTACATTAAGTAAGACTATAATTTGGAGCACTGTTATCTTAGTTATAAAATAATGTTTTATCTATTCCGCTTTTGTGGCTCTGTGTGTAGGGAAGAGTGGTGAGTGTGAAGATGGGTGGGTGCCATTGATATTCTTCATCACTCTGAAAATCCAAAATTTCTCTACATTTTAATAATTTTGCCTTTATCATAGAGAAGAATTCTTAAAATAGCCAAGTTTATGATTATGAATATTTGATAGTACCTATGATCCTAAATGAATATTTTAATGCCACTTAGCCTGTTTTCCATATTTTAAAAAATGACAATATTAATTCATTCTCACATCACTGTGAGGCATAAATATTTTAAATGTCTTTTGAGAATGACAATTGTAATGTGCATGAGCAGAGAAGTAAATTCAATCCTAGCTCATCATTCATTAGAATTTTCATAAAGACCGCATTGCATATTTTATATCAATGTAGTGGTAGGGTTTGGAAGCCACCTGGAAGGTCTAATAAAGTAGAAATAGTTCTGATTAAGCAAGTATTGAAGAAGTAAGTGAAAGTATTTGATTTATGATATGAATCCTGTGAATGTGGAAGGTGTGCTCGTGGTTGATTTAATCATAGATCTGAGAAACCTAAATTCAAACACCCACCCATTCCCTTATATGTCTCCTCTTCATAGTCTAGAAAGACATTGACAAGTTTCTGACAATTTGCTCACAAATTATACACTCCTCCTGCATTATATAACCTGTCCCAAAATACCATGTACTGATCCCAAGGGTTAAATATTTTGCTGCTAGTAATGACTGGCTTGTGATTTTAGCTTTGTTGTAAGATAATAGGTTTTTCATAAGCCCTGTGTAGGTAAGGCCTCACCGACTGATCAGCTGGACAATAGTCTGTGTCATGGGATCACATTATTAGTACTTCAAACTTAATCACAATTTCAGAAGCTCAAGGATTGTGTATTACAGGAGATAAAGAAAGTTTAGTTTAATTTTGTTTTGTTCAGAGTTGTTAATGCTATAATCATGGTAATCATTGGGTCTTCTGTTTCCATAATCATTAGAGCAGAGATATTCTGGGAATTTTTGTCCTCTCCACAATTCATAATATGAAGAATGCATTTTTTGCCAAAAAGCAGTAATTTTCTGTCAAAAATGGAAAATTTTCAGTCTTTAAGGATATGGAGAGCTGTAAATCAAGTGTGAGTTAGTCTTCCTCACTTCGTGTCGGTCTGATTCTTATTTATGTGAGAAATAACATTATTTTCCACATCACCAAATCTAAGAGTTTTTGAGAAGAAAGTGAAACTTTTGACAGGAAAAATGCTAAAAATATGCTAAATCAAGATTATGTAAAAACAGGCCAGGAAATCGCTGTTAGGTACCTCTCTGTAAATTTGTTTAACTTCTATTTTCTTTAAAAAAAAAAGAATAATATTAATAATAACCATTACTATTTATTAATCACATGTCATTAACCTAGCGTGGCTGAAACCTGTGACCACATTTGCATCTGTAGCACTACTTACAGGCCAAATGACAGAGGGTAACTGTATTTTCTACCTTATTTTCTCCACCCATCAAACAAGAATGTGAGTAGCTGCAAAAACCAGTGTTGACAATTTACTTCAGCAAGCAACTAGAAACAAGAACAAGAAACTAGAAACAAGATAATGCAGCATTAAAAGGGCTGCGAAGAATCCCATCACCTATCCTCATAATGTCCCCACATTTCCTGGGAGACTGAGGATTATTCTAACATATTGATCTATTCCGTAACCTGCAAGCAAATAGATCCCATTTTGATCTATTTTTATATATGGCAGGACTGGCTACATAATTTGCAGGTCAAAATGAAAATGCAGGCTTCTTGTTCTAAAATTAATAAGATTTCAAGATGTCATCAGCAGAGCAAGAAACCAAGCATGGGGCTAGAGTGACTGTCAAGTCACAAGGCCATGAAGCTGGCTCTGGAAAATGGTTTGTGTGTTAAATATCACTTGTCGTTTTGAAGTTCTTTCTTCAACACAAAGGTGTGACTACATGGTACTTGTATTATACATTACATGCATACCTGTTACATCATAATTTTATGTAAGTAGTATAGTCATAACAAAGCCCTCTTCCCACATTCTGTTCTGTGGCATGGCTCATGGTATGGAGGACCCTCACTCCTGTCAGGGCTTGCTGAGGATGTTCCCTCACAGGTTACAAGAATCCCTTCCTCAGGGACTCTTCATTTGATACCAGCTCTGGAATCCTTTGATGTTCCCAAAGCTTCCACCTTTACTATCGTTGGCTCTTCTCCATCTTTTAATGATTCCGTTATATGCTTCACTTACAGGTACATAATACAAGGCTTAGACAGAAAATTTGGAAAGAAATATAAACTTGTTAGGAAGAGATTCACCTTGTACATCCAGTGTATATCAAACCCACACAGCATGAATCCCCCAAGCCCTGTGGGTCCTCTGGTTGCCTAGACTCCTGAGACTGTAACAAAGTTCATTGTGTAGAATGCAGGCTCCAGTGATTGGTTCCCTAAGCTGGGCTAGATTTCAGAAATGGCTCTTATCTGTTACGTGTAGTACACATACGAAGTCTTAAGATCCATGGTAACAGAATATGCTTTTTTTTTTTAATCATCAATGGCTAATAGGACATTAGAGAATAATCTGAAAATTTATTCCCAGACTAAAAACCAGACGGTTTTTGAACAGTGACAGTGATAAATATATTTTTCAGATGCGTAATACTTTTTGTAAGCATGGATTATAAACAAATGAAAAGTTCTGGTTTACTGGGTCAGATGATACATCTATAGAAAAATTATTATTCAGAAAGCCTAAAATCTTAGCCAGTTGCTTTTCTAAAGAGCTACAGGATATATTCTTCTTATTATAAGTCGCTTAAAATTACTGATTATTGAAATTAAATGCTATCATCTTCCGTGAAAATCTCAGACAACTGTAGGGATCTGACTAGATAAGATTGGTCTTTACCACTTCAGAGACATAGTGTTAATTTGCTGTGTGTGTGTCTATATAGTATATAGCAAAATGCAAATCAAATCCAATGCATGAGAATTCTTTTCCAAATGATGACAGTTTATACTTAAAAATAAAAAGCTAGCAAATGTCATAGAACTAGGAATCAATTATTTTTTGAAGGTCCTTATTTAAATTCAATTCTCTCCCAATTATTCCATTCTTGTCAAAAATATGTTTAATACTTGAAGTATTTGGAAATTACTTTTGCCACCTGCATTACTTTGCAAACATCATGATGATTTTTGCCTTGGAAAAGTGTTATTTACAGTATCACTTGTAAAGAGACAATTAGAGGTGTGAAAAATAAGTGAGTAACTTAGACTACCAGAGTTCTCTCCTAATAATTCTTTATTTTCTTTCAAAAATAATGCCACTAAGCAAAACCATGAGAGGATGAAGTTGCAGTGTTTTCTTTGCTGATTTGTTGAGATGTTATGGACCTCTCTCCATCATAATTAATGTGCAAGGATGAAACCTCACTTATACATACTGATATTGGAAGGAAAAATGAGAGATGACTAAAAATTAACCAGTACATTTTATTTATTTATAAGTTGGTATTTCTTCAACCATATTTCCTCAAGACCTAAAGATAATCCTCTCTATCTGAAATTGAGAAGCTCTGCTCTTTCACATTACAGTATTTTTTGTTTCATAATAGTGTATATAATTGTCATATTTCTTTGGTCTTTAATATGAATTAAAATTATTAAAAATAAATAAAACAACAACAAATAAGGCAACAACTCAAAAGAGCGACTTGCTACCTATGTCAGTGTTCTTCATTAGTATAAATGCCGTGATTCATGATGCATTTTACTGGGGTTTGAAATTTTACAGGAGTCATCAAGACCGCCCTTCCAAACATGGATAGAGAGGCTAAAGACCAGTATTTGCTTGTTATTCAGGCAAAGGATATGGTTGGTCAAAACGGAGGACTCTCAGGAACCACGTCAGTTACCGTGACCCTAACCGATGTCAACGATAACCCGCCTCGCTTTCCTCGAAGTAAGCTATTTTGTTCAATGTTGCAAGTGCACTTACTTTTCTCGCCAATCTAGAAAAATGTCTTTAAAAAGGAATTTTTCCGAATACTTCTCATACAAATCTGACTACATTCTCTCACAATTTTATTTTATCAGTGGCTTGATTTTAATTCAGAAATATGGAATTATAAGGGTATTGAAAGCAAATAGAAGCAATCATATCTTTGTATTACTTCTATCTTAAATATTTTATGGTTTTTCTTTCTTCACATTTTGAATACTGGACAATTAAGTTTGTTTATGTATTAATCTTTTTATTCTAAGACATATTTTTTATACATTTTATGATTATAAGATTGTTGCCAATTATTTGCTTTATTTTTAAGGTAAAATATTGCTTTATTTTTTAGAAATATTTTAAATATTTTGTAAAACATTGCTTTATTTTTAAAGTAAAAATAGAAGAATACTGAACTTCTTTATTTTTGATTCCACACTTATTTTAACCAGTTCATGTGTGTTGGATGTGCCTTTGGCCATTCTCCCGCATCTTTCTTGTGCAAACACGCAAGTGTTTCAAAAGAAATCAATCCAAAGAACTAGAAAACCATATGCCCTCAATTTAGTTTCTTTGACCAAAGTGGCTTTTGACTTAACCAAGAAAAAGGAAAAAAAAATTTCTTTAGGGAGAAATGTCTGATTGTAAAAAGCATTTCACCTCATTCTCTTTTGGTTGCTTTTTTTTTCTTTTTTGTAAGTGTTTGTGGTATTTTTTAGAATGCTCAAGAAAATAAGGAAATTGTACAGACGACAGTGTCTCTAAAATGCTTGTCTGATAGAAATGGGAAACTAAGTTCCCTTACAAACAGATCTTTGAAGCAAATGATTTCGACAAGGAAACTTTCTCTGCAAATATGAATGTCACTGTGTTTTCCTTCAGATACTAGTTCTTTATATGTTTCTTTTTTATTTTACATATTTTAATATTTATGTTATTATTGTACAGCAGTCATTTCAATACCTCCAGGCAAAATAAAGAAAACTTACCCTAAGCTTAGCATTTAAAAAAGTGAACCTATCCTTAAGTGTGCTCTTGATGGCTTATAATGGGGGAGGAGAGGTGGATTGTAGAATTTAAAAAAAAATAAAATAAAATAATAATGGAATTATTTGGGCTCATGATAAAATCAACTGTTTTTCTTTTCTTTAAGCCTAGCGTGATAAGAATTGGTAATTAGAATTTTTGCGGTTTCAGTTGTCACGATTTGATAAAATAGAGCAAAGGTTTTCTAGCTTATTAGATAATCTCCTACTTATTAAAGTGAGGGAAGCCAAGGATATGTCATCAAACTTTTCATTTTTGCTGGAATTTTCTCTACCATTTAGTTACTATTCTAACCTTGAAATTTTTAGATTTTACCGAGGACGCTTCTGGATGTATGAAAGAGGTTACTCAAAAATGATAAGTACATATTGTAATTGTTTTTTAAAAAAATCAGTAACTATTCACAAAATTTAGAAAATTGCAAACAGCAATAATTTTCAGCCTAAAATATAGTTCCTTCATATGGATACATTTTCCTTTCTCTATCCCTCTCAAAGATAATCCCTTCTTTTCTCTTCATACGAAAGTGAAAATGTACCACATTTAACAATCAAAAGGAGATGGAACGGGGTGGAGGAAGCAGAAAAAGTAGATGATTAGAGAAAAATGGTGAAGGAGCGGAGTGTTCTGGGGAATTTCCTAGTTTTCAAGGGATGGTTCATATACTTCATCTGTTTCCCAAACTGTTTTTTTTTTTTTTTTTTGAGTTGAGAGACAGTGAAGAGGAGTTTTTACTAAGTAAAGTTAAAAAGTTGTTCTTCCTTTTTTGCTTTCTTTCCTCCTGTTCAAATAATACTGCCTCTATTCTTGTACCATTGTACCCCAGATCAGTCCTACATACAACCCACAAAAATAATTCTCATCCTCAGTAAATTTATGACCTAAAAGAAGACTAATACAGGCTTTCATAAACTTCCTTGTCCAGTTTTCTGAAACTTTCTTAGTAAAAGTTACTACTAAGTAAATCCAACATTAAGTAGTCAGAACTATTTAGTCTTGTATTTGCCCATTTGAAGCCTAAGCTATACAATTTTTATTTTTAATATTTATATATATATTAATTAATTATTGTTTATATTCAATGCTTGTATGTTAATTATATTTATAATTATTTTAATTTTATTCTTGTTATTAAAAGTAGCATATTTCTTACCACTAGAAATACCAGAATGGTGATTCTTCTCTTGCCTTTCCTCAGATCATCTGTTTCCGCTGTCACATACTGATTATTATCTAATCATTCCCATGAAATTCCTTGAGGCTATATGAAACTTGTCATCTGTCTCATATTGCCTTTATAAAAGATAAAACAAATTAATCAAAGATGATGCAAAATAACCTAATAGTTAACCTTTTGTTGGTTAGCTTGGTTTTGTTCATTCCTTGTTTTGAATTTCACAGGGTCTTACCAATATAACGTCCCAGAATCATTGCCAGTGGCCTCAGTTGTGGCCAGAATTAAAGCTGCTGATGCAGATATAGGAGCTAATGCTGAAATGGAGTACAAAATTGTGGATGGTGATGGATTAGGCATTTTCAAGATTTCTGTTGACAAAGATACACAGGAAGGAATCATTACTATACAGAAGGTAATATTTTCTTTCTTTATTTTTATTTTCTATGAAGGTAACATCACAGAGATTACTCTACTGAGAAGCCATCTGCTTTGATGGAAGAATGTATTAGACAAACTGAAGGTCCATGAGGAACCAATGTTATTTTAATTTTAGGAAGAAAAGCTATGCATTTATTTTTAGGTGTCAGAATCGTAGGGAATCTTGAATGACATTTGTAATCACACCCCTTCAATTCTGTTCTCTGAGTAAACACACAGCCCTTGTCTATATCTCTGTAACGATAAGGCACGCTGGCAAATGTGTTGTTTTAAATGACCTACTTGAAGACTTGAATATGCTTCTTCATTGACTATTGCAGTAATGAAACCCTAAAATCAACGAAAAGCTTTTGTAAGCAGACTAGACAAGCACTCCACATACATGAAAATAATATAAACAAACTTGGAAATATAAACCAAAATGTTGAAGACTTGCTACATTACCAATTATTCCTTTTTAAAATGTATACTAATTGAAGTGCTTGAAGAATTCATACAAGCTGGGCATGGAATGCTGTGAAGCCTATGGTAATCCCTTAAATATAAGTGCAAAGGAGATAGAAAGTCATTATAATCCAAACTAAAGACTATTTGCCATGATATATTTAAATTATCTCCCAACACTGATTAGACATAAGGAAAGTGAGCTCTTTTCTCTCTCTCCTCTGTGTAAACATGATCTTTGACAAATGTTAAATTAAAAAAAAATAAGTCAAAAGGAATCAGTCCAGAAAATAGTCTCATTTTCTCAAATATTTGAAACACTAAAAATTAAAGTATATATGAAAATCCCAACCCCTGAGATACTGGGATTTTATGCCAGTCTGACATCCAGGTGTGTACTCCTGTAGTTAACATTACTCAATTAACACACATCAATAAAGAAAGTCATATTTTAGTTGTTATAGGAAAACATATGTTTGATTTCAGACCAATGGGCAAAATATTTCTGCAATTATTTCCAGTGGACAGCTGCTGTTTTAGCTCAGCTGGTGACAATCTGTGTGAAAAAGTCTCAATAACTAGGATAGGCCAACTGTTGGTAAAATGTTTTCTTTTGTTGTCTAAAATGAAAGAAGTGCAGTAAGGTACAATGCTGCTCAAAGATTTCAAAGATTCATCTGAAATCAATCTACTCATATTCAAGAATTTTTAAATATATATTGAAATTATAATTATTATTATTATTTTCTTGGTGAGGAAGATTAGCCCTGAGCTAACATTTGTTGCCAATCCTCCTCTTTTTGCTGAGGAAGACTGGCCCTGGGCTAACAGCCGTACCCATCTTCCTCTACTTTATATATGGGATGCCTGCCACAGCATGGCTTGATAAGCGGTGAGCAGGTCCATGCCCAGGATCTGAACCCGCGAACCCCAGGCCGCCGAAGCAGAGCACGCGAACTCCACCACTACACCACCGGGCTAGCCCCTAAAATTGTTTTTATTGAACACATACATATATTTTATATATTATATTGAGATAGAATAAATCATTGAAGAAATATATATTTACAAATATATACATATTTGATAGGAGATATTTGACTCAGTAATAGAAAAAAATTTATCCTCAATTCCTTAATATTATTTCTAGAAGCTTCAGAGAATTAATTATTAAAAACTATAAAAAATCTAGATAAGACGCATTTAATCTCAAAGCATAAAATTCATGACAGAACAGTAAGGTGAAAATTAATTGTAACATAATGATATAAAAATAAGATTATTATTACTGTTATAGGTAGTCATCAATATCTTCTAGAGTTTATTTTGAGTAATTTAAAATCTTTATCTCACTTGATTTTCTCAACAATCTCATGAAGCTATTATTAGTACAGCAAACATATGGAAACATTATAAAATGTCCAACAAAAGAAGAAATGATTAAATAATTAATGATATTGCCTTATTATGGAATCTTGTACATCATTGAAATGTTGTGGTGACATTAACTTAGCATATTAAGTAATATGGGAAATGATTGTATAAAATATTATGTAAAAAAGCAGTATTCAAAATTTTACAAATCTTATGTTTCAAATTTTATGAAAATTGCATTTACATAGAATAAAAAATTGCAAGAAAAACATGAAAATGTTAACAGTAATTGTTTCTTGATCTTTACGATTTTTTAAATATATAACGTGTTAGTTATTGTTATAATTATAATGTTACTAGATTCATAAAAATATTATTAAAAGGCCAAAGCAAAATATATTTCATTAAAAGCACTTTATAATCTACTTTGAGTATTGTTGTAGACGAAAACTCTTGTGCAGATGCAGAAATAAGTCACAGAGATGTCAGTCAGTGGGCTCAAATTTCGTGTGTTGTTGAAGCTCTCTCCGGTATTAAAAAAGACATCATCACCTGTCTAATGAATTAAGATTCAAAAATATTCCAAATGCTTTAAACATTTAGATTATTGGATTTTTTATTTTTCATATGGGAGATTTCCTACCCATGCACAGCCACCTGAGTGATGTTTTGCACCTAATAAATACTCAATAATTGGTAAATATTTATCAATCAGTCATTGTATGAGACGTTAGCTAAGTGTTTTAATAATTCCTTATGCTAAACATGAGATTGAAATTGTGTTATTTTTAGTTTAAATTCTTGGCAAGTAAAAATAAATTTTCTTTTCTGCAGTGGCTTATAATATATGAGTACTTTCTAATTTTTGTTGTTTCTCATCCTCTGTCTATTTTCTTACGTGATGTCAATGATAATTTTGGAATAATTAAGCACACTCAATGTAGAGGAGAACCTTGAGAAACAATGTTGGTGGAAAATTTCACAATTTTACTGCCTTGGCATAAAAAAACAGCAAAAAATTTAATAAAACAAATCTTATTCATTGTGAACTACTACAAATTTAGAACCGAGTCGGCCATCCAGCTATCAAGGTCCAAAAAAAACACATTTAGGTTAAATACAGGGCTTCTTAAGAAATCCCTTGAAAGCCCAGGTGTTGAGTGCTAACTTGATTTTATATATCATTTTGAGTCTAGTAAAATATTCTGTTTATATGAACAATAATTGAGACTAAGAAATGAGTAATGGTTTATTACTTCTCAGATGGTTAAGTTTGCTCTAACTTTGCTAATGTGGAAGACTGATGTGATATTGAAGTTTTATCTTCATGTGGAGGATGTATTTACCATACTGAGGCAGAACCATTGCATTCAGAAAGCAAAATAGTCTATAGTAACAGATAACATGAGCTTAAGCAGTGTAGTTCTGAAAAATTTTAATGATTGTTAACTCATTATAATAGAATGCATGTGTATTAAGACAGGATATCTGAAACTTGGCTATTTCAAAAAGGTAATATTTAAACAAACCTATGGAGTTTATAACATGTAGATAATATCTACATAGAAATAAGTGGAAATAAAATTTCACGGTTTTCTTTACACTAAAAATCTTTGGTGTTAGCAAATGTTGCTTCACACTTTCCTCTTACCCTCCTCCTCACAGTTCTGGGTAAATAATAGATATTGGAGTAATTCCCTGGTGTATATCAGTCTAATTTTTATTTCCAAAACTCCCTCCACCCTCAAACTCATTTTTAAAAATTATAATTTTTCATTGCCAACTAATATATTCCAGCATCTAACCAATCCAACTTTGACTTCTCACCAATATTGAAATAAACAAACGTAAATAAGTGGTTTCTATCAGAGTGGATTAAAAGTAGTGGAAATATTTACTCTGTAGTTTAAGCTTAGTGATTACTGAATTTTTGTCACTTGAAAAATTGTTTATGGTATTATAGATTAATATAGTTTTTTGATGAAAAACTACTATTCCATAATTTTATCATTCTCAAGAAATTATTTTATTAATTTATTCAAAAATGTAGTTCACATTTTAAGTGCAGCAACTACGCCTAAACACTGTACTAAGGTCCTGCATTAATCCAGGGCTTGTCCTGTTTAAAAACGTCATGTCAGGCTCATATTCCAACTCCTGACATGACATCAAAGAACTATGCAACCCCTAGAGTTATTTAAACTCGTGTTTGTCGGGATACATATCCCGCTATTCTTCAGTTCCATTCATAGAATCAGAGTAGACACTAAGCCATTGTTAATTTCTGGAAGCAACATAAATTTTCTTCTAGCTCTTCAAACATTCCCTCCACCTGTAGGACTCTCCCATGCTCTGCTCCCAGGCCCACTTACTCTAACTCATCTTTCAAGTCTGGAAAATTGCTCCCATTCTTCCTTCTTCAAAACAAATAGGTAAACAGAGGAAGTAAAATTGTCTGTATAAACAATTTGTTTTTCTTGTTCAAGGAAGGGTGTATGTTTCTCTTCAGTATTGGGAGCTGGTCTAAGAAAAATGTAATGAAGTTGTCTCAGTTCCATAAATATTGTGGTTTTTTCATAGGCTTAGCTGTGGCCACAAGGATTTGAGTAAATATCCAAGGCTCTGTCGAAGTGTCCAAGAGAGCTCAGGTCCCATCTGCCAGCCAGCTGGTCAGGCCCACCTAATCCCTCAAAGATTTGAACATGGCCTGAGGAAGCACTAGAATTGTGGATGAATAACACTGTTCACCAGGTAGACAGGGAAATGGAGACTTTCTCACAGAGATAACCACCTGTGCAAAGATTCACCATAAGAGAGAACGTGTTAAGTTTAGAGAATTAAAACTAGGACAATTTTACTGGAATATAACGTGGAAGGGACTGTTGGCACCAGATGAGGCGATGTAAGTGAAGGGGCTCCTTCATGCCTTTATGCCTCCTTCACAAGGCTGCTGTTAGTAAATAGGAACATACATGTACAATGATTTGCAAATAAGAATGGATTATAAATAATAAATATTAAAGGATATTTTAGGTACAGCTACAATAAAATATACTGTGGAATAGAAAATTATATCTTCTAATTTCTTTTGAAGCTTTATTATTGGAACTGTCTGTGATAATTCTAATTCATTTCAAGCATTTCACTTCTTTTCAA